ACTGCACAGGTGTTCCTAAACGCAGATAAGAGAATGGGTATGCTATGGATAGGAAATCCTTGGAATTCCACAACTGATCCAAAATCGCTTTCATAGTTGAGATTATAAACTAAAATAAAAGCATTTCACCACTTTTATTTATTCAACATTTGTGTGTATTCAGTCTGGACCCACTCCCATCCATAAACAACTCTGGATAAGCACCATGATTGGAGTTAAGTCTTTCAAGCTGTGTATATAAAGCTGAGTGGATTCTGGTTACTCCCCAGAGCAGGACTGAGAACATGTTCATTTGAATTTAAATTTCTATATAGCTGTGGTTGAAAACATCTCATTGTAGATTCTCCAATCCCTTCTGAGTGTTCTGTAGCTTCTCATGGGCAGAACTTAATCTGAGACAGTGGCGTGTGTGTTTTACCAGTCATACACACTTGAATGAAAGCAGCAGCAGCTGTGCACCTGCGACACAAACACGCAGTACTAACAATGTGTGTTTTATCAACATAAAAAGGTTTCTCCCATTTGCATCCTTGATTCAAAATTAGCATTATTTGTCCTTTTCTGATATATTTACTCCCAGGAAATTTGCTTTTAAGGATTGTTTTTGTGCTGAAGCACAATATATTTTGTTGTTTTAGTCACAGGATGGCAAAATAAACAAAGCTCATATGTGATGTTTTATTTCATAGTTCAAACACACACCGAGTTTCTTGTGTTCAGTGGTTTTAAATTCACTCATAATAATATTACAGATAATTTTGATCACCAGCAAAAGCATCTCTTCTGGACACCGAGTTCTCCACTGAACCTGAGTCACATTACTGGAGGGTGTGGTTCAGGTGGAAAGTATATTTGATGAGAGAGCTTAGTAGTGCTGTCAGCTTCAGTGGGATGCTAAGTAACTTTTTCATATATTTAAATCATTGCATTGGTTAAAGAAATGTCAGTCGGATCCCGCTGCCCTCTGTGGCTAGAATGTCACAGTTGCAACTCCAGAGTTGCTGGTCCTCTACCTGCTGGTGGAGGGAGCTGTGGAGTGGAGAGGAGCTGACATGGTGGAGCAGGAGTTTGCTTCCAGCACGTGTCTTGTATGGTATAGATCATGAGCACAGCTGATTTGTTTGGTTTAGTGATTAATTGCTCCTCAAGTAACTAGTGAAGGCTGAAGAGATATTTCAGCTGTTAGATTAAGGTGTTAAAAAGACAAACTCACAGTTAGGAGATACTTTTAACTTTTGGTTAACACAGAGAATTATAACGGACAATAGGGGGTGCTAAAAGCAAGCAAAACTGCAGAGTGTGCCTTTAATTTCACTAAAGTTTGCTCAAAGAAAGAAGACAGTCCTCTATCCCAGCTATTGAGAACAAAAAGAAGCAGCAAGTATGCTGTGTGTAACATGCTGTATACGCATGTATGGTGTGTGTACATGGGATCATCTGATCAATGGTTCGGTGTGCTGAGGAGGATTCTGGATGGTGATCGAGCTGCGTTCCCAAATGGTTAAACCACTTCCAGCTTGGTGGGAAGCAGGTGGGTGTCTATTTGCTGCATACGTTTCTATTCCAACGTGTCAAGGTAAAGTTTCAATTTGACTGAATCTTGTGGCAAGATTTTCACTGCACTGAGCTCACCTGAAAGGACCTCTACTCTGATATGGTGATTCTGTGTGAGGACTGAGCTGAGTGGTTAGGGTTAGGGTTTGGTGTGGAGGCAGGGTTCTTGACAGAACCTAAACTGTAAAAAAAGACAGCCTCAAAAAGTTGTTTTAATTTATTTTTCCTATTTCACTCCCTGTTAAGTTTTGATTGGTAAACTTAATTTTGTGTGTTTTGATATTGAAATCTTAAAATTGCTTGTTATTTCAACAACTTGTTATATTATCTTCATTTTTGTGCGTTCAGTCACCTTAAACTGCAATTTATAGATTAAAAAATGTCCCCGCCCACTGTGAAAGCTGCAGTGGGCGAGGCACATTGCAAGTAGTCATATTCTTAGTTATTTTGTTATAATTTAATGTGTTTACGCATGTTTATGGTAAGGGTTTTGTTGTTCTTAGTTATTGCTTTGTTCCATGTTCCAAATGTGGAGTTATTTGTTGTTGTCATGTTGGCATCATAAGTGAGGAAGGAGGTTGTAGGAATAAGAACGTTGTGCCATTCCACTTCACTGCATTAAATAAAGGGGTGGTTCACACAAAATGCTCAAGAGTCTTCTCCTTGTGTTCCACTCCCACTGCAGTCATATGGGTGTATGAGGCACGAGTTAGCCAGCACTTTTCACTGGGTGATTCTCAAAGCCAAGGAACCTCGCCTTGATGTCTTGGCCCCACCCCGGTTGCCTAGGAGATACGTCATCAGGAGCTGCGAAGACGTGTTCCAATGTTCATGTTCTATCGAGGCATGTGTTCTTCAATTGTTAGCCGTTTAGCTAGCTGAGCAAGGATACTCAGGAGGTGTCTTGTAGCCTAGCCTGGGTCAAAATTTTCCCAATTTACACCGCAGTATTTTCAAAAGGATGGCAGATCAGAAGCCAGCAGCTTCGGAGGCAAATTTCAAGTTTAAAAGTAAGTCAACTAATTTAAAAGGTTTTTTTTAGATCCAAAGAAGTTATCTATGGTTGGTTAGTTGCTTACTAGTTGCAGCTTTGGTGGCTAGTGGGTAGTAACTCACATATATATTTAATTTCACAAATATATAAACAATTTAAAGAGTAATTGGCTTGACATATTTATATTGAAGCTTATACGATTAAAATATAATGTCATCTCCCATATCACGTAATGTTATGTGCCTGCCCTGGAAGCCACAGTCACATGATGAACGCCTGTTCCATTTAACCGTTTTCTTTGACCAAGGAAGTACAGTGTCCTTGTAAGCAAGGTGCCTGGTGGCCAGGCACCTTGACATTGAGAAACACAGTGTTGCTGTTAGCTTCCTGCATCACCCTTTGCCTGTATGGCCAGCCTAAGTCATGCCCATCAACTTCCGGACCATGGGTCCCCTGAAAAATGAAAAAATGAATGCAAGTCAATGGGGCTAAAAACATTATTTCTGATTCCGCTTGTTATGTTCTATGGATTTCACATATGTTGTCCGTGAATTTAAAAAATGCATTTTGATACCAATAAAGTGCTTATTTTTGCACTGGAGGAAAAGCTATTTTAGGTTTTGTATGAAAATAAGTCCGGGACTACAATTACGCTTCCTGGAAGTGACGTCATTGAACCAGACATGGAGAAAAACAGAGGGAAAATGGCTGTAAGTTCAGTGAACTTCAAATCCTTCCTTCAGGAGGAAAGAAACACCATAAATCTGGACATTTGGTAAGTAGCAGTTACGCTAGAGGAGAAGATATTGTGTGGTGACGTCACATATGCGAAGTGACGATGTTTGGTTTGTAGTCATGCTAATTATGAACTTTTACAAACTGATAAATCTCAAAGTACGTGACAGGTGTGATGGAAACACCCATCATTAGTTTTCATTTAAATTGCAGTACAACATATGTGCAATCCAGGGTCTAAAGCAAAGCAGATTAGAAAATGGCGTTTTTAGCCCCGTTGACTTGCATTGATTTTTTTCATTCTTCCGGGGTCCCATGAGCCGACCGGAAAGGGAGGAGACTTTAGGTCCCTGCTGGCATGACAGCTGGTAACACGAGTTCAAACAATTATTCTATTTGTCCAGTTAACATTAACTTGTAATTTGAATGGACAACCATCAATGTCTAACTTAAATTTATAAGTTAAGATAAAGTAGAACTGTGGGTATGTTTAACAAGACAAAATGTTTTTCCACTTGGTTATCTAACAAGATTTGTTGTTTCAACTCACAATATAATATTATAACAATGCATAGTTATTATTTATCATATTTGTACAACTTGAAGTTTAGAGTTGAAAGAAAGCATTAATTTAAGTTGACATGATTCTCCAATAATAAGACAGTAGCTAGATTTCTCCCTAGTGGCTTTCTAAATATAGTAAAAAGTCACTAAGTTGGCCACTTTTTTACTTTTTAAAAAGAACAACGTTCCATTTGTTTACATTGAGGGAATAAGACTTAAAACTGGGCAGATGTTTTTTGTTCCAGCTTCAATTTAACATTTAGCTGTCTAGTAAAAAACAATGAATTAGTTGATGGGGCTAACTAGTAATGAAATACTCCATTACCACAGATCTACTGTGGCTGCATGTTTGCTGTAATAACTAGAGGCATCATGGTTCAAAGGCAAGGAAACTCAACACACAACATCTTTTGGAAACAAAGAACTTGTTCCAATGTAAAGCAAATGAGCCAGTTTTCATATTTTTGTTGTTTTATAAAGATTACATAGATTTTTTCCCCAATTTCTTTAACTTAATATCACGTATAATACATATTAAATATGTATTACATATAAAACAACACATTTCTTTTTGTACTTACAGTCATTAGATAAAAAATCATCTTGTAAAATAAAAAAGGATTCAAAAAGTAAGATAAACTAACTTCGAACATAAATCTGCCATTATGTAAACTCAGATAGTCTGAGTTAGACCTGCTTGTGTTCCGGGGTATTTTGTTTTTTAGTGTAGTAGGGGATCTACAGGGAGGAAATGACACAGCAGAACAAACTTTTGTTGTTTCTCGGAAGACATAAATCTTTTGTTCCAAACATTACTTGTTTATTTCTGAAAATTTCCATCTCGGCTGTGTCTGCCAAAAAGCCGGCGAATGGTTTTGTAACTAAAAACAAAATTATCTTCATCTGGTTGACTGAGAATCATGACCACTATATTTATGATTTCATCAATAATTAACTTACATAAGATGAAACACAAAGCCAATTAACAAGTAAGTGTGTGTGTGTGTGTGTGTGTGTGTGTGTGTGTGTGTGTGTGTGTGTGTGTGTGTGTGTGTGTGTGTGTGTGTGTGTGTGTGTGTGTGTGTGTGTGTGTGTGTGTGTGTGTGTGTGTGTGTGTGTGTAGAACCGGGTCCTTTAAAGAGATTAGTCTTACCGTCTGGTTGTCCTCGTAGAGCTTGAGGTCATAGCCACTTAGCTCAACACAGAAAATGATTGCAGTCACGCCCTCAAAACAGTGAATCCACTTCTTCCTCTCCGAACGCTGTCCACCCACATCCACCATCTTGAAGGTGAGCTCCTTAAAGGTGAACTTGTTTTCCACAATGCCTGTGGTCATGTCGCGGGAGCGCAGGATGTCCTCTACAGTGGGGATGTACTCGAGCGCAGATATGCGGTCCAGGTCGTTCAGGTAGTAGGCCGTGTTGTCCTCTAAGTGGTATTCATTGGACCTCTGAAAGCACTCCTGGACCCCAGCGTCCGCCCACAGACGCTTCATCACCCCCAGCAGCTCTGGGGTGATCTCTCCTTTGCTCTCTGCTGGACCTGTGAGGGCAAAGAGCTGCACGGCATCGTAGGCGCGGTCAGGGTTGTGAAAGTCTATCTTAAGGGTGGTGAGGGCACGGATGATGCGGGTCAGTGAGTCAATGGCATTGTACAAAATCAGAGGCTTGTACTCCTTGCAGGCCTCTAGGTTGAAGCCACCACTGTGGATGATCTTCATCTGCTTGACAATGGTGCTCTTGCCCGAGTTGCTGGTACCCAGCAACAGTAACTTGATTTCGCGCCGCTGCCGCTGACTTTCCGAGCGCAAGTGGCGGTCGATTCGCCTCGAGCGCCGCGCTGCTTCCTTCTCCTCCGAGCTCTGGCGGCACCCCATGGTCCTCCACCACGTGGAAAATGTAAAGGAACTCGTGCTGCTGCAGGATGGGACAGCTAACTATGAGGAAGCGGTTAATCAAAGAGCAGTTGGTGGAGGAGCTGAAGCTTGAAGATTAGAATTTTGCAACTGACCAGTTCAACTCTTAGCAGTTAAGCCACAGTTAGAGAGAAGTGACTCAGGACTTTTTCATTCCTTTTCTTTCTGGGGCAGTCTGTATGTTCTGTGTGGGCAGAACCCAGACCTGTGGTATGCCCACACAGTGCCTGGCACTGAGCTTGAACCGCCTGCTGAAGCCAATGGAGCTGGGGTTCATAGCAGGGACTCCCCCTGAGGAAAAGCTGTGGCAGCAGGCTGAGAAAAGTTCACTATGTCAGTAGAGAAAGTGTTTGGACTTGATGCATTCATATAAGGAATCCCAGTCATTCTCTTCCCACATGGCTCTTGTGGTGCGTTGCCCTTATTTGGCTTCTTCAACCATCCACCTTTGCTCAATATTTGGCCTGTTTTTCTTGATCTTCCAGATACAATCTTTTTTGCTTGCTCTCTTGAGAGATTTCTCCTCAACAACAGAAGTCCTGCCAACACATCAGAGAGAGAAAAACATTTAAGAACAGGTTTAATAACATGGTGCTCCCTAATGTCTTCAAAAAAACAGTTTATTTAACTTTTCCCAGCCTTTCTTGTATTTATGATACGTTCAAAACCCGGCTTCCTTTGGGCAGTGACTGTGTGTATGTCATCATTAGTTATAAAACTATTACATCTGTGTGACAATAGAAAAGGTGGGCACCAGTGGGGAGCCAACCTGTTAATCCCACTTTAATTTAAAACCCCAATGCTTGATGGATGGGCATATAACAAATTGTTGGGTTTGCACCTGCACACACTAAACTGAGAATATTGGATGTGTTGGCTAAGCTCCTTTCACACATCAGATTCATAATCTTAATGGCTTCCTTAATTTAGAAATGGGTCACATTTATATTAATGGTCTTCACGGTCTTATTAGGTGGCAAATTCAACAGTGAGCTGGAACACCAACAAACCAACAAATGTTTAGAAATGTAAACAAGCCCATTAGAATCCAGAACATGCTGGTATAATAAAGCAGCAGCAGAAAATATTACTTTTCTACATTACTGAACTACCTGAGTTTTTTTTGTGCAACGACTCAACTCTGATATTCCAGATTATGTTTAGTTTTGAATTTCTTCAGCTCATTTTTAACACTATCATATTTCATCAAGCCCGTTCTGCATTCAGCTTTCAAACAGTAGATTGTCTGTATTGTGATCTTAACTTATGCAATGAACAAAATGCAAGGTCGTTATCATTGCACAGAAGTAGATGTCGAGAAATGTTCCCCTTGAGAAGGATGTGTGGCTGCAGTTTCAACAAAAAGGCTGCACTGTGATGTCTGAAACTTTGTGGTTAAATGTGTGCTCACTTACAACACTAACCTCACTACTGTAGGAACAGAGGCTGCATAATGTCTGAAACAAACTGAAACATGAAAACCCTAAATGCATTTTTAGGGCATGCTGAACCACAGAAATACGAGGGTCATCTTGAGGGGTTCTATCTTTTTCTCTCTTATTTGTTGACAACAAGAACCAGGGGCAAAACAGAGGGGACAGCCTTTGCTATAGAAAACAGCCACAGCAGGCCTGCAGCACATTTGAGACTCCCCCGAACTCTTTGGGGTGGGGTTTTGTGGTGGGTTGGGTGGGGGAGCTTAACATTTCTGACTGATTGAGTATTCCCAATATTTTCTTTCCACCTTTCTGTCTGAGTCATCTCAGCTTATTCTCCACTGTACATTTGTACAGCAAGAATAATTGGTGTTTGCTAACACAACATTCAGACTCAGTTGTTCACACACAGCACTGTTCCAGCTGCAGCTGCGGAGCCAAATCCTGTTAAGGACAAAGGAAAACAGCTAGGAGATCACTACCTCTGCAAAAAAATATATATTATATATATATATATATATATATATATATACATATAAATGCTCATTTATAGAAGCATTTATATTTTTAAGCTAAAATAAATCCATATTAACCTAAGAATCTTTTTTATTGACAGTTGTGGTTGTAGTTGAAACCAGCCGTGTACGTTATCACCATTCCAGATTCATAGGGATGGTGAGTCTATATATTGAAAATCCATTGTAGCTACACCTTGCTGATGGGTAGGAAGTGGTTGTATTTGTGCCTTAGATTGTAACCGTTGTGAAACAATCACAGGGCAACGCTTTGCTGCTTTGAGCCACCGCTGTTTGACCAAATAAAGCTCCTTCTTCACAGATGCAGTTGAACGAGTCTGAGTCGGCCTGAGCGCTGCATGAGGATGGAGTTAGAAAGCTGTTTTTGCTAACATTATTGAATCTTGCTGTAAAACTGGAACTTGATGGGTTCAAAAGCAGCAGTGGACCTTTAGTGACTGTAGTGCACTTTCTACCTTTATTGCTTTTAGGGGGTTGTCTGAGCAGCTGCAAAAGCTTAGCAGCAATGACGGGGAAAGACACGCGCCAGCAAACTTTATTTACCTAATCTGACTAGTATCTGCAATTTCGGGGGAAGTGCCAAAGAAATTATGTTACAATTTACATGTTCTGAATGATAAATGTCAATTTAAATTTGTAGTTCATACCTTTTGTGATTTCTGTGGACATGTTGAGATTATGAATTATGAATATTTTAGTTATTGTATTGCAGTGGTCCTCAATAGCAGGCCATGTCTGGCCCGCGGGCCCCCTCTTTGTGGCCCACCAAACCCTGCGTGCACACTTTATTTTCAAAGAGACATTCATGAGGATTTTATTTACAGGTGTTTTTGTGTTTACACATGTTTACAAGTTCTTACATCTTGTCAAATTTGAAAAATTTTACCATCTACAAACAATATTACGCTATAATAAATAGGCACTGGTTGAGCACTAGGACCAAGCAGATAACAACCCCTTGTGTTGAAGACGGTTTCCCATTACATATTTTGCTGATCGTGCCCCCCATCCCCCCCCCCCCCCCCCCCACACACACACACACACACACACTTCTAACGTGAAAACGACTTCCATGGGTGTGATGGATTCTCTCATTTTTCAATTTTACTCAAGGAAAATAACTAAACACACTTCAAATAAATCTGAAGAAATCTAAAAGGAAGTATTCCAAGCAGAAAGGTGAAAGGACAGACATGAATATGCAGTCACTCACCTACTGACCTGCACACTTTCCATTAATCCATATTCTGTGTACAGCCTGTTCTGATGTTCTCCGTTTAACGGTCTCACACACTCCTGCTCTCTTTAGCTGCAGTCCTGTGTTACCATAGACTCAGTACTGGCTGTTAGCTAACTACACCTGTCCTTTAAACACCACCAACACACACACACACACACACACACACACACAGCCTCATTATAAACTGGACCCTGATGAAATATTTATGTACCAAGGAAAATGGATAAAAGCTGGAAGGTTTTTCATGTTTCATCTTTCTGCACAAAAGTTTTCTTATCCTTTCATTACAGCTATTATCTGAAAATGAATGAAAATATTTCTGGGAATGTTTGTGAGTTTTACTTTGATAAACCAAATACTTGAACATGTTTATATTTTAGAAATAAGGAACAGTTGTAAAAGCAGCCATATGCTGTTGAAAATTAATTTATGTTGTGGCCTGTTTTAGTTTGACTCTTTTTCCAGGTGTGAAGAGTAGTAAAAACAATGCAGAACAAAGCCAAAACACATCATATCAATACAAACAGAACGGAAGCAGTGAGTCGTTGCTCTGGGAACTGGACTCCTACTCAAACCAGTTGATGCACACCACACATTCTGATGATCTGTTAGGCACGTTTTAGCATTCCAAGATGCTTTTCCAACATTTATAGTACTTTTTAAGTCTAATCAGTGCCTAAAAGTTGTTTTATGTTTTTATTTGTTACCTGTTTTACATCCTAGATTTCTATAAGTGATTTAATTGTAACTCTGAGTGATCATAAGCTTTTCTAGCATCATGAATGTCCTGTTTTTGACCTAAAGGTCTGCTGCGTCTGCTCGAGCAGAGACATAAAGTCTCTGACACAGACTAATCTACATGAGATATTGACCAAGGTCTTTCATGCACTCTGCTCATCTGAACTGCTTCACCTCTGTTACAGCTCAAGACGAAGACAAACTCTCTTGATAAACACATAATGAAACAACGTTTGTTATTACCAATAATAATGTGAGCCCAATGTTCAATCAGTCTGTGAAATGACAATGCTATTACTTGATATTATAATCCTGTGATCAGTAGTATTTTACAAGTAATTATAATCCTGGACATTTGCACTAGACACTAAAGACACGTAATGCTAAAGTCACACGACACATTTCCTTTTGTCTGATCCAATCAGAACCTTCATTTCTGGCGCTAGGCGTGGTTTTCTTTGGTGTTTGTATAAACCCTCTTTTCCATGTCAAATTCTGATTCGCCAGTAAACCAAAGAATGACAATTATAAAAACTATTCCCACGCCACCTTTTCTTTAGTTCAAAGCGTCCTAGAGTAGTCTCGGACAGGCCATCAGGACTTTCTCTTCAGCGAAAAGAACCTCGACAAGCTGGATAAAATCTGTTGCAAGTTACACCTGACCGCAACGGTTCCTTCAGAATAAAAGCTGAACCTCACGACCCCTTCAGGGTCTCGGAGACGCCAGTGATAACCTGTCGTGACCTGGAAGCATTCCAAGACTAGTTTGGTCGGCACCACTGCTTTTCTACCGGCTTCGGTTCCAAGGAGGGTCCAAGAGAACCTCGACATTCTGGATCTAAACAGAGGCTTCCCCTGGGTACGTAGACCGACAGATGGCGTCTCATGTGTGTTATAAATCTCCTACTATAGTTTAGAGCAAAACATTCACTCCCACTCAGAACTAAATGCTTCTCCGTATCCGCTGGTTCTGATAACAACGTTCCACACACACACCATCATCATTCATCACGTCTCACTCCACCTTAGTTCCATCAGTACACAGAGTGTTTAAGTTAGTCTTGTTTAAATTGTGTGGAAATAAATTTCTTAACTGTTATAAACCTGACTCTCTCTCTTTCCTCGGAGTTAATACGAAGTGTCACTTAATCTCTGCAATAAAAAGTTCTGATCTTGTGGTTAAAATATTCAAAGATCCATCAGATTGATATTTCCTATTTCTATGGAATCTCACATTTTATGGTTCATAAGTAAGATGTAAACTACCATTCATTACACTTTTTTTAACATTTTTAACAGAAAAGTCATTTAGAAAAGCACTAAAAGATGTTAAAGATGACCAACAGGTGTAATTAACATGAAAATTATGAGAGATGGAGATAAGAGTGACGTGTTGCTAAATCAGATCTTTCAGTGTTGAGCTCTAGATTTCACAGTTATTGTTCAGCGGTATGCAGCTAGTATTGGCTGGAGCCGTTACGATCACATTAGTAATGATGGGTGGACATTTGCTTTGTTCTAATAATCAAGTTTGGTTAGATGTGCAGGATGAAAAATTAAAACCACTCATCATAATTAAATGTTAAATG